TCGCATTATTTTTGAAAATTTCTACATTTTTGCTGCTGTCTCGACCTTTTGGAGCAATAATCTACAACATCGCAGCCAAGTATGATGGAAGGATCAGCCCCTCTGACCTCCGCAAACTCGAGAAGATCTCGATAAAGAAACGAAAGTCGGAACTGGATTTAGCGTTCCTGCGAAACTGCAAGTCGCTCAATGTTTACCCGAAGTTTCTTTGTTTTCACCTACCTTCAAACACCGCCCGACAAGATGTATTGGCAATTATGAAACATCTTTTGAAAAGCGCCATCAACAGACGATTTCAGGATAATTTTCAACAGATAACAGCTAGTTTTTCAGGTGGAAGACGTTATCAGTTAATGCTTAGGATATGCTACTATTCTGGTATTCCTGGTTTAAGTACAAGTCCATTAAACTTGATTTGGTCACAGCATGGATAGTAGAAGACTGTCTCTTTACTATCCATGGTCACAGTAGGAAAATTTGCTTTCATTTTAGTCGTGTACTAGGTAACGTAGTTGATTGCATCACTGTTCACCCTAGGGCGCGCGTGGCGCTTAAACCATGCCTTGCGTGATGCGCAGAACGTGTGCGCACTAACAAAAGTAGGCACCGTCCTTAACTTAAAGCGCAAGTTTGAAGCTTCGAAAGTTTCTAAATAAATGCTAACTTAAGTGTAGTTTCTCTATTAAAAAACGACAACAACAACAAAAATACTTCTAGTCACACAAAGTAACCGAATTAACGTCCGTCTTTATTACCATATGTTAGTTCCACGTACCTAATCTTCTTAGACTGATGAAAAATCTAGTGACGTTAAAACAGCCAAACAAGGAATTAATTATTCAATTTGTCTGTTGTGTCGTTTTCGATGCGATTTTCGGTTAATTTCGACTTTCAGAAAAGCTGAAGGAGTTTTTGGATGACTTTTTACCCAAAAGTTCTCTTCCATATATTTTCCCCCTCGGAATTGTCGGTTTCTTCAGTCAAATGGGAAGCGTCCTAAGCTGCCATTTTAAAAAACAGGTCTAGACGCATGCGCATCACGCAACTCGATCTATGTTAATCTGCAATGTAGTAGTTTTGTTTGTAAATTTCGAGTGATCCTTGGTTCGAGTTTCATGGATCGCCCTTTTTGCGCAATATTCCATTGAATAAAATTGATGACCGGAGCTATTTTTTCGAAGTCACTCTAACTATTTTAACCGCTCGCATTCAATACAATAGCGGCATAAATATATGCGTATTTTTTCTTTATACTTATGGTCTCTAAAAATCAGTAAAGATTAATTGTGCCACGCATTTTAAATACAAACAAAGGCTTACTAACTCTGTGTTCATTGGGATTCCACCTTGAAAACTGCGGTTTGCGCCCGCGTGAGAAACCATGTCCATATAACAACTCTCCGTGGACAAATTCTCGGCTTGATGTACGACAAACGCATTTAATTAACGATTGCTTATGCGAACGTGAGTGTGTAATATAATACTTTTGAAAAAAGCTATCAACTTTTAATTTCTTTTTCGCCTGAAGTGCCAGTGATTGATTATTTCCGAGAACAAATGCGAACAAAATGATTGCAGTGGGTTGACATTGATCAGAAAGGCAGCTTTCTGAAAAGTAAACACATTTTTTTCTCAATGATTTTAACTCCATGGCTTTCAACACGAGTAAAGGTATACGTAATTCTCGAGAGGTATTGAACGATCTAAAACTGATGTAGTATGTAGTATCAGTATTTACTTAAAATGAAGTGAAAAGCCGTATGTTCTTTTGATCCATCTTTTATTTTATTGAATATATATTTCACTAACCGAAGCGCGAGAGTTTACCTTGAAAAGCCGATAGCAATTTCAGTATCAAATCTTTTAACCTTGTCAACTCATCTTGTATGACACTTCGATAGAAAACTCTGACGGAAAAAAATGAAGGAAAAATAAAAATGTAAACAAATTCCTTTTAAAGCAAATACATCTCCTTGTACTCGACGAATATCTTTATTTTACTCTACAAGGGGAAACAGAAGGCGTTCAGCCCAGCGACTACTTTCTCATCTCGTATGATTTAGAAACGTTTCGTGGCAACCACGGAGTGCTAGGAAAATCCCAGACATATCTGACGGTCATTCTTTCTATGTTGAAATGATGGGCTTCTAAGTTTTTCCTCGAAGAGTTCTTTTAAAAATATGTAATTTTGTTGGATCATTTTGCAGGTAAAAGAACCGATACATACTGTGCTAAGTTTGCAAAATAATGGTTGTTCCTTTATAGTTCTTTTAATGTTATTTGTACGGTCGGTGGCAATTTTGCAAAGCTTTGAAAGGAAAATTAATGTCTGTTCGTTTAATATTCCTTTGCCAACTTATCCTATGTTTGTTGGGTTAAGGTTAACCTATCCTGACGAGAAATATCATGTATATCGTGTTATTTGTGACTATATGAAGATCGTGTTTCGATATTGTCTGGTAGGGTGAGCTAGTTTTGCTCCTACACCTGCTTGCAAGTTCATATGGCCTTGCACAATTAATGGTGATGAAGTGTGCATTTGCCCAGAAACGATTTTCGAACGGCTACTTTCGGCTACTACTATTTGCTTTCGTGTACATAAAACATAAAAAGATTCTGCCAGTTTTTATTTCCTTTGCGGTAAAAGCTGATTTCCTGTATTTTCAATAAGTAAACTTCTCAAGCGATACTTTGTCAATGCGAAAAATGTATATTTTGTCGGTACGGTTCGACAAATGCAATACTAATGAAAAAAAACAAAACAAAACAAAACAAAACAACGCTTAAGTGGGTCGGAGAACAGAAGTTTCGTAAATTCTAGTTGTATTAACTACAGCTGTACGCCATGATGAACGAGCAAATTAAGTTTGTAATAAGGGAAAGGTGTTAAGATTAAAAACTAGTCGAGTGCATTTATAGGTCTTTCGTTTTTAGAACTTAAAGTGTGTCTTTGATTGACAAAGAAGTTCAGGGACATTTAATTTCAATTGAGCTCAATAGCTGGAGAACAAAATGAGAACTTAATTTATGCTAACGGTTGGTTTTCATATGCTTTAACTCTGTTTTTTTTT